TTTGGTTGTGAACGTGCCAAATTGTATTTATAAACAGAAAATGTATCGACACGTTTGTGGGTTTTGTTGGAGGGAGATAGTTTGTGTTGTTTGCTTTGCATTGGTTTTTGGCTTGTCATCAAAAACTTTGGATCAACCAAGGAAGAGGAAGTTTTCTCCCGTGTGGGATCATTTTGATCTTATAACGGAAAATAAGGTAAAGTATTATTCTGTTCTCATTTCCACCATTGATCACTCTTCTGTCGGGTTATTCCCGTTTACATGAATTAACTTTTATTTCTATTGTAGGTGAAATGTAGGATTTGCGCAGGTACTGTCTTACTGTAACCTGAGCTATCTCTATAGTTATGCTGCTATAGGCTTAGACTTTTGGAGGACATAGGGACCCCCATTTCATCATTCTGCTTCATTCTCTCTCTGTTCTCCTATTCTGCAGAATCTGTTAGTTCAATCTCTTACCTTCTGCTCTCTCTGCTTTTCCTCAGAGTAGCTTTGCCTCGTCTGTTCCTGTTTGGCTGTGACGTCATCCTGGAAAAAAACATCAGCTGTGCTGCTTCCATCAACACCCTTGTTAATAGATGTTGGAGATCGGCCTGTTTTCCAGTGTGGTCCTGTTTCTCTGACCGTGACTGAGTGGATGTGCTCTCTTCGTCCTCTGGCATGGGAGCTGCCTTGGAGCTCGTCTGCCTGGCTGTGTGTTTCCTGGACGGGGCCGCCTTTTACAGCTGCTTTTTGTATCTCTGCTTCTGTCTCCTTGAACCCCAGTCGGCCTCGGCAGATGGCCGCTCACACTGAGCCTGGTTCTGCTGGAGGTATCTTCCTGTTAAAAGGGAGTTTTTCCTCTCCACTGTCGCTACAAGCATGCTTAGTGTGAGGGATTGTATTTGAGTCAATGAGTCAATGCAATCAACTGGCTTTCCTTAGACATGAAAACTTTGTATCAATTTGACTGTATGATCTGGTTGAACTGTAAAGTGCCTTGAGATGACATGTGTTGTGAATTTGGCGCTATATAAATAAACTGAATTGAATTGAATTAACCGGAGCACTTCCACAATGCTGAGGCATTACCGTGGCCGGCATGAGAAGGAAGAACGAGGTAATGCTCCCATGATTAGCCCTGGTGTTTCCACAAAGCAGGTTTTTGATGAGGCTATCATTAATATGATCATTACAGACTGTCAGCCGCTTTGCCTTGTGAAAAACAAGGGGTTCCGAGAGCTGGTCCAACTCCTTGAGCCCTCATATGTTATGCCATGCAGAAAGGTATGTTAAACAAACTAATAAATGGGTGTTATACATGTTAACAAGGTATATGCATGTTAAGTGATTTCATTTATTAATCTACTCCGCTTGTGTTATTAATTTTAGGCTATTAAGACCATGATTATCCAGAGGTATGAGGAGAAAAAGGAGCAAGTTAAAAAAGAAATAAAGAGTTCAGTTGCAGTCAGCCTAACAGCTGACATGTGGACATCCATGAACATGGAGGCTTACCTGGCTGTGACCTGTCACTATGTCAATAGTGAGAACCATACACTGTGTACATCAATGTTGGTAGTGGAACACTTCCCTCAGTAGCACACTGCTGAAAATATGGCCCAAGTAAAGAAAAACTAAATGCAGGAATTTAGCAGAGAAAGTGACATGTCTTGTCACAGATGCGGCTGCAAACATGGTTGCATGTGTCAAAAAGCTCCAAATCAGGCACATGATTTGCACAGCGCATTCTTTAAATTTAACAGTTCAAAAATCATGTGACCAAATGAGACACTCACAGATATCCAAAATAAAACAAGGCATGTTGTAACATACTTTGGAACCAGTACTACAGCCAAAGAGAAGCTGGCACAAGTCCAGCTACAGATAGGAGGACCAGCGAAGAAATGAAAGAATGAGACGTCAACTACATGGAACAGCACGAATTTAAAGCAGGAATACATGGCAGAACAGAAGGAGTTGGTGTTGGTATCACTAGTTTCTTTAAAAAGTGATATACCTCAGCTCACTACAAATGATTGTAAAATCATAGAGGAGACACTCTGTGTGCTTGCTCCATTTAATCAAGCAACAGTGGAGCTGTCTGAGGAAAAAAAAAAAGAGTGTCTGGATCAAAGGTAATCCCAATGCTCAAAATGTTGCACCACTCACTGCAACGCAATGCATTAAATGTAACCAGGGAAACTGCAATTAATCTTGTGGAAAACCTGAAAAGAAGATTGCTAGAAACTCTCTGCAACCTGGAGTCATTGAGTGTAATGACAATACCAACACTGCTGGACCCTCGGTTCAAGACGATGGCATTCTTAAGTGTGTCAAAAGCCAATGATGCAGTGAAAAGACTAAAATCAGAGTGTGCGGCAGTAATGAGAAATGCTGTACCGACACAAATGGAAGATGCCCAAGCTGGACTTTCAACTCAACCATCTGCTTCCAGTCCAGGTAGGTCATGATTCTTAATTGTGTTCATTTGTATTTTCATGTTTATGCAAATCACTTCATATGAATACAATGAATTAGTAACACAGATGCATTTTGTTTCCTCAGATGACACCCTGTGGCACCACCTGGACATGGAAGTCAAGGACAGCAAGGCCAATTGAAATGTCACCAATGATGCCATTATCAAGGTACAAAGATACATCACCGAGGAGAACACACCAAGATCACAGGATCCTCTACAATACTGGAAATCGCAAAGACTAAATTACTCTACATTGTACAAAGTTGCAATGACATTTTTATGTACGCCGTCATCATCAGTGCCCTGTGAAAGGGTGTTCTCAAAAGCAGGAGAAATGGTTTGTAAGCGGCGCAATCGCCTTGGCCCAAAGATGTTAACGCAGCGGATGTTTCTAAATAAAAATTTGTGAATGAACCTTGTTCAGTCTGTTTCCAGTCTTCATTGAAGTTGCCTGCAATTACTTTTTAAATCCAGCAGATGTCGCCATTGAGTGATACAGCAACACAGTTTCAACGCAGAGTTGACACGGTTTGGGAAATGTGCCATACACCCAATGGGGCCTTATCAGCCCATCACTAGTGGCAGGTACGTTAATTTATTCATTTATTATTTGATAGCCCCTTCTGATAAAACATCTCGTTTTTGAGGGGGATTAAGACAGAAAACATAATTGTATCTTCAATAATGCAGACCAAATGCACTGCAGTGTAATTGTCTTATTTAGCCTTTTGGCTCTCATTTCAAGGATTAAAACTGCTTGTTATCATTGTCCTCAAAATTATCAATTTTAAGAATAGGAATATTTTAAGAATAAGATTCCTTCATCAGGTTGAAAAATACAAGGCAAGAAATGACAAAAAATTACCCCTGGGCCGATACACCTATACAAAAAAGTCTATTTTTCACAGTCCAATGTTGGCAAGTATAAACTTGCACTCTTCCCAAAAAGCAGCTCCACAGTCATTCAATAATTATATATATTTTTTATTTTAACTGCTGGAACAAATCCTTTTTAAAGCCAATACCTAAAGAATATGTATTAAGTTGATGGATATAATTACAATCACCAACAACTTTAAAGTGTGTGCAAATGTGATGGGTGCAAAGTGAAAAGCAACATAAAGCTGTGCTATTAAAAGAAAAACTCAAATATTAACATTAAGACAACCACTTCAAACGGCAAAATTCTAAAGAATAAATGTAATATTAAAATATTGCACTTAAAATACTATCATTCAATAACTAATTAAATGTTTGTGTCTTTAATACAAGCATAAGTTTTATTCTTTTTTTTATTCTGCAATTTTGCGCTCTGACCAGCAGATGGCGCCCCACGCAGCTGTCTGTCTCACCTCTCGGCAGTCCCTCAAGGCCACTCTGCAGCTCTACAGGTGAAGTTTGTTTCTGCACAAGGTACTTGAACTGAAAGTCCGTCTGACAAGGAAGGAACTATTCAGATCCATCTGATAGGTAGAGCACTTTAATCACAGTCTCCACTGTCCCTCTCAAATAAAACCCCAAAGAGGTCAAACGTGTGTTTAAAGGCTGATGCACTTGGATAAGCATAACATGAATATGTAATAATGTTATATTTCTGCCTGCTGTCAGTGGAGGCTATTTAATCAAAATTATCTATCCTCAGTGCTAAGAAATCTTAGCTTCACTGAAAGTTACTACTACCAACATTAATCACTTCAGGAGCCCTCATTTAGTTTAGTAAAATTTGAAGATATTTTTTCTTAAAATTGCATCTTTAAAAGCTAGTCTTATTCTTGGGATTCTTTGTGAATATGTGCACTGAAACTTTAAAATATTGCCCTCAGTCGCTATCCAGGCTGATAGATTTCATTAACTGTTTTATCTGTTGTTTTACTTTCCTTTGAACTTGTCAGAACTTTCTGACAACTTTCAGTCAACCTTAAATTATAACTTATGGTTATTTTTAAATGATTAGTTATTTCTACAGTTCTAATTGTAATAAGGCCTAGGTCTGGTTAGTTACTTGGTACAGTAATCCTAAATAAACCTTAACATCTTACTGAACCATTTAAGTATGCCACCCAAAAAACTAAGAAAAACAGGGTTACATATTTTTCTTCTCAGCACTGATCTTATGTTAAAAATATAGTGAACAAAGGATGTCATTTTACAGCATTTTACAAGGATATTCAGGTAACCCTTTCTTTTACAGTACATGTAATATCCATGTAATAATATGGTGATAACATAGCAAGTTACACTATATTACTATGTAAAAACAAAAACTTTATTTGGTAATTACCACAAAATTAAGGTATATTTCAAAGCAATTACTTGCATGTAATTATTGCAATTACATATTACTATGTAAGAATGGAGAATTTTGGTGAGTAATTACCATCAGGTCACTGCATAAGTTTATTATTGCCAATCACCTACCAACAGATTACAAGGTAAATTGTAACTTATGATCAGGAAAGTGGAGTGGTTAAAATTTTAGGTAGACAGGGCAAAATCAGACTGTAAAAGAATTGGGAGAAATAAAGGTAAAGTAAAAAAGGGTTAAAGTCATTTATTACGTGATGATGGTTACAGCTTCTTCCTTGTCCACTAGAGGTAGACAGATACACAGACACAAGATCTGAGGGATATATTGTTTAGAATACTACAAATATTTTACAGTTTAATTAAAAACTTAATATGTTCTAACTTCCATAAATCTTTTGCTTTTATACAGAGGCTTGTTTATTACATAAAAAAGCAGTTGGAGGCCCATCAGATTACATGGTACTGTAGGGCATTTAGCTGCATGACAAGAAAAAGCAAAAAACTGATATTTATGATTGTAAAGTATGTGGGTGAACTGAATATAGTATGTTGATTAAGTTATATAAGTTAAATCAACACAGAGGAAAGAAAAAGAATGTCATATGTTCTGTTATTCACAGCTTCAAGTCAGAGTTTCTCATCCAAATACAAAAATCTATGAAAGCGACTTTAATCGCAATGATATACTTATGAACAGCTATATAGATTAAGAAAACAAAAATATTTCACAACCATTTCACTGACTTTTCTTTTGGTGTGAATGAGAACAGCATATTCAGGCGGTATTTGACCCCCCAGTTGGGCATACATGGTAATAAACTTCCATAAAAATGAAAGCATAAACACTTCCTGCACCTGAACTCTCAAAAACACTAAGCTTGATACCCATGCATTTCATAAATTCCAGCATACTGATTATTTGGCGGAGGAGGCTTCATTATCACATAGGTGGAGTTCTCACCAGCTCCATTGGTTTTCTGTAAGAAAACAACAGAAGAGACAAAGGTTTATTTTGGTTTAGCAGGTGATGGGCTTTAGTCACACCAAATTAGTGATATTTAAAATTACTTTCTTATATATATAAATAAAACTAACTCAAGGAAGGTTTCTACTTGTTGCTTTATTTAAAGAAATAGAGTTTTTGTTATATTCATTAAAGATACCCCAAGATTCAACAACATTAATACTTTTAAAGTGATTAATTATTGGAGCTGGCCATGAATAGAGCTAAGACATAACTCCTCTACTATTAAACTAATTGATCAGATTCTTATCAAAAGAGATGACAATAGAAATAAAAATTACTATTGAGAATATGTTACTTAAACTTAAAGGGTTTTAAATCATCAAAGCTTCCGTTTTTAATGGAATCTTTGGAATCTCCATACAAGGATTTAATTTAGAGACTAAGAATAAAATGACAAATGGATTTCCTGATAAATTTTTTTTATTATTTTTAAAAAATTATCCACAGAATGCTTAGAGTGGTGCAGAATACAAGCAATAATTTATCCACTAAAAAACAATAGAATTTTGATCGGTACCAGATTTAAACGTGCACACTGAATTATTTGTAAAAAAAAAAAAAAAAGAAAAATAATAATAATAATAAATGGTCTCAGAAATAAATTTATTCTGTCAGAAGTTATATTAAAGTCTTTGAAAATGAAGAAATTGAAACCAGCCTTTGCTTTTCAGCCATAGAACAGAAAGAGAAAATGATGATTTTAAAAAATAAACTCATGAAACAGGCGTGCCATAAATAATGGTACCCCTTAAAAAGACAGAAAATAATGTGACAAAAGGGATATAAAGATATGTCCACTAATTAGCATACACTGTGTTCAGAATTATTGGGCAGGTTGTATTTTTGAGGAATATTTTTATTATTTTTGCCACAATTGTGTTTTCAATTAACCCCAAAGACTCCTTAATATCAGAGTTTCCTATTTTTTGGAAGTTGATGTGTTTTTTTGTTTTTTGTTTTTAGATTTGGCCATTTTATGAGGATGTCCGTGTGTGCAGGTAAATATTTCTGTGCAGAATTGTTAGGCACCGTAATAAAAAACAAATATATACCCATCTCACTTGTTTGTTTTCATCAGGTAAACCAATATAACAACTCAAAATTCAGAAATAAAAATTTGGGACATTCAAAAACAAAAACAAAAAAACGAAATCAGTGACCAATAACGCCACCTAGCTTCACCAACCATAGATTCTGTCAGTGTCTTGATCTGTTTGTGATCCACATTGCGTGCAGCAGCCACCACAGCCTCCCAGACACTTTTCAGAGAGGTGGACTGTTTTCCCTCTCTGTATATCTCACATTTCATGACTTTTTCTGGCCAGCCACGCTGTGGTGTATTTTCATGCGTGTGGACGGAGCATTGTCCTGCATGAATATCATAGTTTTCATGAATGATAGCGACTTCTTCTTGTACCACTGTTTGAAGAAGGTGTCTTCCAGAAAAAGGCAGTAGGTCTGGGAGATGATCTTGACTCCATTATCAACCCGGAAAGGTCCCACAAGCTCATCTTTAATGATACCATACCAGTACCCTAACTTCACCATGCTGGCGTCTGAGTGGATGAGGAACTTGCTACCCTTTACTCATCCAGCCTGGTGCCCATCCATCCATCTGGCCCATCAAGACTAACTCTCATTTCATCAGACCAAAACACCTCAGAGAAATCCGTCTTCAGCTATTTCTCGGCCAAATCTTGACATCTTGTGTATCTTGTTCAAAGGTGGCCTTTTTTTTTACTTTCCTCACCTTGGCCTGGTCCCTGCATTTTAAACACGCTGGATCCTTCTCAATTCATGGGGAGTTATTTTGTGTCTTCTTTTTTTCAACACGCTTCTTGCGCCCCTGTTTTCTATTTGCCATGAACTGCTTCAAAAGCTTGGCAATTTCCAAACTGCTGCACCCCTCTGAAAGACATCTGACCATTTCTGACTTTTCAGAGTCTGTCAAATCTCTTTTCTGAACCATTTTACCAAAGGAAAGGAAGTTGCCTAATAATTAAGCACACCTTATAAAGGGTGTTGATGTCATTAGGCTACACCCCTTCTCATTACAGAGATGCACACCACCTGATTTACTTAATTAGTAGTTTGCTTTCAAGCCTATACAGCTTGGAGTAGGACAACATGTATGAAAAGGATGATGTGATTCCTAATAATTCTGCACACAGTGTAAAGCCAGGCGTACACTGTACAATTTGTTTCAATCGTTGCATGCATCTGCTGCTGTTTAATCAGTGTGAGTTAACAGCTCACAGTTATGTTCAGCCCGACGCTCTGGTGCGATCTACCTGCTCACCCAGTACGACTAAAACCACCTCGGACTCAGCTCCACAGTGAGATGGAACAGCTCTGTAGCTCTTTATCCTGAAGCCAAACAAATAGAAGGGGGATCTAAAACTCAATATAGTGAACCATTCTGCCTTGGCAATTTGTGCCATTTTGTGCTGAGGGTCCTAGAAAGAAAAGGCGACGATGACGAAAAAGAACGTGGCTGAGCAGGCCTGGCTACTACAGTCCATCAGTTTTGCAGAGAGAGCTGCATTTCACTCACTGCATCCCTGCCATGCTGCTGTCTTTACATATGAGAGGAAGAATAAAAAGAAGAATCCTTGTTTGCGCATGTGCCCTGAGTGATTTGTCCACCACGGTTGGGAGAATATCCCGACCTCATGATTCCTGATCAGGAGGTGGTCGTGAGAGGCTGATCGCCGCTTGTAACCCCCTGTACACTACACGACTCACAACGCACGATCAGGCTGAAAGTAGGCCCAATCCAAAGATTCTCGCAAGACTGGAAAATCGCCCCTCAAATTGTACAGTGTATGCCGGGCTTCATAGGTGTCTATAGTCTTGTAATCAGTCAGTGGGTCAATATGTAGGGATATACGTTTGCTGAGTTTGAATTCAGCGCCTGCGTCCTCCAAAGGGCAGATACGCAGGCCGGTTACGTCATAGCGCTGCGCTGAGGCCAGTTCAGATTGGAAGACTCCTTGTTATGCAGCCAACAAACACAGCCTCGTTTTTGCCCATTTTGAAAGATGGGTCTGTTGTATCCTACTTAGCCGAGGGTATCCCATGATTCATTGTGAGTCCAAGAAAGCCGCTGCTCTGTACTCAGAGGAAAAAGGTAAATGGGGCTGAGCAGTGTTGAATAATGAATTGCAGTTTAATATTATACGTTAAAAAAAGTATGGGAATAGCTCAGTCAGAAATTTATGAGAATAGTTTTTTAAAAGGTTATTGAGTCAGATACAGTAGCAGCCATTCAAAATGGCCCGTCCCAGTCAAAAGGCAGCAGAAATTATTTGATCAAACCAAATCACAACCTCTTTAGCTTGGGTAGTTGGTTTTGTGGCTGCGTCATCAAAATTATTTTTTCAATACTTAAAGCTTGTTTGAAAAGCAATATCTGACTTTTATTTGTTAATTTTAATGTAATTTGTATTAAATTTTCTAATACATTTGTCCAATTCAAGTTACAGTATCGTGCAAACAATCTGACCTATATTCAACATCTAACACAATCAGCCTCTCGCCCATTGACTGCTGGAGATAGGCACCAGCACCCCTCCCGACCCCAATTGGGACAAGCGTGTCAGATATTGGATGTCTAACACAATCAAAGGACACATCAGCTTTCAAAAACAGCCATGCCAATGGCAGCAAAGGTTCGGTTACATTTGGGACAACATCTAGGGGTAGGACCACAGGTTCATTTGAGCAGATTAAAACTCATAGTGGGGATTCTGCAAAACCTTAGTGGAAAAAAAAGTGTGCTAGAAGTCCATTCTGAGAAGCGCGGAAGTGTTACATAAGAAAAAGTCAAATTTTTAATTTATTTCAAATTTGACTATAAATTACTTTCATCATCATTACTTTATTAAAGACACAAAGTTTTCCATTAAAAAAAAAAACTTTTCCTTCTTTAGAATTTGTTTTCATATTGGTGACGAATTTGCCATGGATTCATCCAATCACAACTTCAATGCCAGTAGTATGGTAAGTACAATTATGCACTAAATATTTCTCGATGAGGTTCAGGAAAATTAGATCCTGTCTATTCTTAGAAAAAGTTAAAGTCAAACATCTACATACAATGACTGACTTGGCATTGTTATGTTTTTGGTTCTGTTTAAGTTTTATCTTTGAGTTTTGGTTAGTTTTATTTCCATTTTGTGTTATTCTAGTCTTTTTGATTGTTTTTGAGTTCTTAGGTATTTGTTGTTTGCACGCTGTTGCTTTCTTTTGTCAGCCTCCTTTTCCCTAGCTGCTTTCTAGCCTCCTCCACTGTCACAGTGAGGTAGAGGTTTGACAGGAAGACCAAAATGCAGACTGAAGCTGAAGGATATTGCTGGAAGATTTATTATCCAAAAAAATTTCAACAGAAGGAAAAATCCAAAAACATAAATCCTCAAAAACTGAGAACCAGGAATAAGCACAACAAGAGGACAAGAAAATGACAAGAAAATCAGCAACAATGACTGAGCAGGAGGTGCATATAAGGGGGGGGGAAACAAAGACCAGGCTAATTAGCAGATTGGGAGCAGGTGTGAACAAGGGAAACTAGAAGAGAGCTTGGGAAAAGGAGACTGACACAAGAGGATAATAGAGGGCAAACAAGAAATATATAAGAAATCAAATACAGTCAAAAATAACTAGAATAACACAAAATGAAAATAAAACAAAATAAAACTCAAAGATAAAACTTAATTAGAACCAAAACCATGACATACATGACCGTTGTAAAAAAGACTTTTCATTGTATTATCAAACCACTTACTTAAAATTGTAGTTTGTCCATACAATCAGGTGATTTCCCTGAGAAGATCACCAAAGCCATACCACTTTTTAAAAATTGAGCTGTATATTATTTGAGCAACTATAGACCGGTATCACTGCTCTCTCAGTTTTCAAAAATGGGAAAATGGTTTTGCTCAAAAATTGAAAAAACGTCCTGAAAAACAGCTTAATCAGTGAGAAAAAATACAGATTTAAAACATCGCCGGAATTATTACAAAAAAATTACAACTGCAACTAGGGATGCACAATATTGGGATTTTGGCCGATATCCGATATGCCGATATTTTAAAACTCATGTAGCCGTTAACCGATACCGATGTTAAAGCTGGACATAAATAAGTATTCATTTAAAATAGCAGTTTTGTTATCCATTTCTGACACTTTGAAAAATAATATACTCAAATATATTTTCATATGCTGATATCAAATAGATTTTTAAAAAAGCAGTATCGATCTATTTTACTTTCAAAATCTCGTGAAATTTCATTGTTCTGTTACAAACTCTCGTAATATTTTGCAAATTCTTGTGAGATTTTGTTAGTAAAATAGATTGATACCGCGTCAATATATCAACATCTAAAAATATGGCAACATTTCGTGAATTTTCGGGGGATTTCGTAGCATAACAATGACATATAGCAATATTTCATTAGTAAAAGATATTGATATGGTGTTTTTAAATGGCAATATATCAGCATATGAAGATATTGTGATATTTTAATGTATCAATATTTTTTCCCTCTTCTTTAGAAATTTTTTAAGTCTGTAAAAAAGAAGTTTTTGAGGAAGAAGTATTAGTATTTTTTATTTTTGTTTTAGACTTTAGAAACTCAGAAGCTGATCAAATATCGGGTTAAATATCGGTGGGGTGGCCGATGTCCGATATTCAGTTTTAAGGCCGATACAGGCCCATACCGATTGGGGGCCGATTATATCGTGCATCCCTAACTGCAACTGAAAGTAAGCAATATACCGTTGCTGTCTTTATCGACTGAAGGAAAGCATTTTAAAAAAAAGGGATAAAAAAAACTGAGTCATTATTTCATATTTCATTTGAATCATATTACATTTCTTCCTCAGTTTATAGTTAAGTTCAGAATCTTTCATACAGATTCAAGCATAAATTGATCGTGAAATTTAATCTATTCATCATTTCTTAAGACAGGAAATAATATAAGAATCTGTGGAAGAAGCTAAACTTTCAGAAGATCAAAAAATATGGAAACATATTAAAGCAATTAAATTTTTAGAAGAGGTTTGATTGTTGTTATGCCTAATGAAATGCCAAATAAATGTAAATCTTTCTTTGAAAAGGGTTGAAATCCTTTTAACCAATCCATGTATTATTTCGCAAATGCTGAGCGGTAAGCAGAAACAAATCACTTGATTTTATCAAAATAAAATGAAAGCTTTTTTAATGAAAACATACATTTGTGGAAAACGGCTTTATAGAAACAACAGTAAACAAATTATTTCCAAGAAACTTATAAAACTGCTGTTGGGCTAATACTATTTCTGACATTTTGAATTGAAAAAGCTTCCTGGATGGGAAGCAAAACGTCTTCAAACTTGGAAACAAAGTTCAGTGGATTGTTTTTTAATTTTTTTAAAAATTACTATGACCTGGATGAAAAACGATCTTCACCAACAAATGTTAAATAAAACACTGTGAAGAAGCATGATGAAAAGACGGTCCTGGCAGACCATGGATGTTTTTGTAAGTGATTTGCCACAAACTTCCTTCGTCTTAACTTCTAAAACCATCTGTGGTTTCAAGATTTTGACATGATTCATTTGCCCTAGATTTGCTTTACTTTTGTTTTCTAATTTATTTATTTTTTTAAACTTTTTGGTTGAAAAAACTTTCAGTCCAAAACCTGGATGCTTTTTTTGATATTAAAATGTTTTAAATGTCAAATCCCATAACAATTGCTGCTTACAATTGAGGGGAGCGGAAGTGTTATATCAACAAGCCTTTTCCTGTAAGTCGAACCCTCACCCCTTGCTCACACTGGCTCCGGTGCAGTTACCAAGCCGACGGAGACCGCAACTCCCGCACACCCCCTCTCACACCGCCCTTTTGACTACGGTGCGGTGCGGCTCTGCGGCTCCGGCAACAGGTCCGGAGATTTAACAGAAGTTCACTTGAGTTCACGTAACTTCACGCGATAACACGGCCCAAATAAAGGATTTTTGCGAGAGCTTGTTGCGGAGGGCTCCGGCACGCCGCAAGGATAGCTTTCTTGCGGAATTTTCTGCAGCGCCGGAGTGTCTCGGTAACCGCAACCGGACAGCTCAGCAGCCGGTGAGAGAGGTTTACGTCTTTTTAATGACTTGGAATCACTGCGGCGCCGCACCCACCGCACCGCAACGGTAAGACCGGAGTCGGTGTGAGCCTGGGGTTACAGCGCACTCTCACAGGGAGTCGAGCAACCGGTAGATGATTAATATTTGTTAAATATACAACACCTAAAACCTTGAGGCAGATTGACAACAGCAGTAGAAGATGACACTGGGTGCCACCACTATCAACTAAGGTTACAATTTGCACTGCCTCACCAAAATTGGATACTGGAAGGAGGGAAAACGGTGCCTGGTCTGATGCGTCTTGATTTCTGCTGCGACATTCAGATGGTAGGGACAAAATTTGGCCTCAACAACATGAAAGCATGTATCAATCCTGCCTTGTTGCAACGGTTAAGGCTGGTGTTGGTAGTGTAATGGTATTTTATTGGTACAATTTAGGCCCCTAAATACCAACTGAACATTGTGTCAACACCACAGCCTACATGTTCTATGAGCTTGCTGACCATCTCTTTATGACCACAGTGTACCCATCTCCTGATGTCTTCTTCCAGAAGGATAACACGCCATGTCATAAAGCACAAATCATCTAAGATTGGTAACTTAAACATGACGATAAGTTCACTGCACTTAAAAGGCCCTCCACACTGACCAGATCTCAATGAAATAGATCACCTTTGGGATGCAGTGGAACAGTAGATTTTCATCACGGATGAGCAGCCAACAAATCTGCAGCATCTGCATGGTGCGATTATAGAATTTTGGACAAACCTCTCTGATAAAGGTTTCCAGTACCTTCTTGAATCTTTTGCAAAAGAAATGAAAGCTTTTCTGAAAGCCGGTGAGTATAGATGTGGCTTTTTATTTGCAAGGGTTGATGTCAAGGATTTTTACCACTTGCCCTTTGGGCTAGTTGCTTTCAAATTTAATTTGCCTGGAAACAATTTTTACTTGCCCAGTATAATGTTTGAAAAATATAGTTATTAATATTCATTTTTGTATATATATCAATGAAACGTGTTTTTTTTATATATATATATTTTTTGTAATTAAGTAATTGTACAGGTTCCTGGTGTGTATATGCATGCGTCAGATAATGAATTCAAGCCTACATTGTTAAAGTGCTTTTCACTCCTTCCTGCACATTCTTTTCAAACTAAACTTTGCTTTTAACTGTTATGTGCTTAGAAAAATATAAATTATAATATTAAAAATCTTTAAAAAACTTACACTACTACTACTCACCAATTTAACATGTTTAGCTCTATAACATTTAAATGCACCACTCCAATGTCTAAGGGAAAAAAATTGAAAATTTTTTAATGTATGACCACTGTACAGAAGACTGCCATGTGATAGAAATATTTACACTGTGCGCATACAATTATTATTTTCCTAATCCCTGAATGATCATTTTTAATCTAGCGTGTACTATAGTATACCATAGATTAAATTCATCATCCAGCTAGTGCTCTGCAGAATTCTCTCCCCAAGGAGAGAAAAATCACGACATCTAACGGAAAATCACACGAGAATGTGTACAAAACAACAAAGATGGAGCCGGCAACGCTTGTGGGTCGTTTTCAGCAAATGTTGGTGATTTTAAAGTAATTCTGAGTGATAAATAATTTTTTTTTTTGCGATCATTGCACTTGCCCGGCGGGCAAATGCAATGAAATTTGTACTCTCCCGACAATAAAACCTACTTGCCCCGGGAGATCGGGCAATGGTTAACATCGAGCCCTGATTTGAGATATTTAAACTGGGTTTCAAAAGCCTTGAGACATTAGTAAAGTAATACAAACTAAATATTTTGTTATTGTCAGCTAATTTAGTCATTTGGATTCACAAGGAGAGGACACAAAAGCAGGTGAGTGTAGATGTAGCTTTTTATTTTATATTTTTAAACTGAGTTTCAAAAGCCTTGAGACATTACTAAAGTAATACAAACTAAATATTTTGTTATTGTAAGCTAATTAAATAATTTAGATTCACAAGGAGAGGACACAATCATTGAGCCTAGCCACTTCTGAGCCAGAGTTGTCAGAAGCCTCTGTCCTGGTGTGAGAAGAAATATCACAGGGCAGTTTCGCTGTTCTAAAGTCCTCTTTTTAAATAATCATAACTAAAAAAGTATACATATATTGTAAATGAAAAAGGTGTGGAGTCTTGAAGAACAGTGGAGAAGCACATAATCCACAAAGAATCAAATCTAATGTGAAGTTTCTATTTTTTTTATCTGTCAGGAAATGTTTTTTCACCCTCATTCTGCTGACATGGCTTTTGGAGATAATCATCTCTTGTGCCAGCAGAAATGGATTTTCACTTTTTAAATTATCTAAAGACTTCCCTCTTTTCGTCATTGTTGACAGGGCTTAGCTCAGACAAACCCAACACTAGGTTTTAAAGAGAAAGATAAACCCCGCTGTTCTGACCAAATCACACAGCAAATCAACAGGAATTTATCCAAAAAAAAGTTTACCAAAAGTTTACTTTTTGCTAGAATTATGATTTACTGAAATGCATATTAGTATGTGTAGAAATATTCGCCAAACATCAGATACTGAGAAGCTTTAAAATATATACATGAACAAGTTACCCTGTTTGCCATTGTCACTCTGACGAAGAAACAGGTGATCACACATCCATACAGGAACATCAGGGACAGCAGACCAATCAGAATCCAGTAGGCCTCATTAGAAGGACAGTCCTTAACTTCTGATTACAAAAAAAAACAGACAGAAAACAGAAGTGAGAATATGTCAATTTGGTTTCTCCTGTATTCCTGGCAAAGTTTTTACACCAAATACCATTCCTGACAAACCCTTGATTTGAACCCAGCTTCCCCTAATTACACCCAAGGACTTTAAACTCTCCACCATTGGGACAACATATATAATTAAGATGCTGAAATACTGGGTGGTCCCATCCTAAAATGAAGAGAGTGTGGTAGTCTACAAAAACAACATTAGTCTCCCAATCTCCGTGATCATGTAGGCCAAGCTAATTAGATCATTTTATATCTCAAAAGTTACAATAAAGACATCTCTATTTATGTTGTTTCTTCGTTACTATCATCATAGTTAAAGGAAAAGTCTGGTCATATTTAGAATTCAAACTTCTGAAAGTACTTTAAATATGAAAATTATTACATCCTGTTCAACAAATGATAAGTGCTTTTAATTCAGAGTAATTTTCATTGGAATGTGCTTTACTGGAGGCATCCATGTTTTTCGAAGAACACTTCAGCCACCTACTGGTTTATGACATCGGTATCAGCTGTTGATCAAGTCCCAGTGCTTTATCTGGTGTTTGTCACAACGCGCTATTATCCAAGTCATCTTGAAAAAATTCTTCTTCCAAATGTTGGCTACATATTACGTGTTTTAAGTTTTGTTTTTTTTCAATTTTACCAAATGTAATCTTAAATAATTTTTGTTGATAGCAGATGTGCCTAGTAGCTCCCATTTGTTCTGGTTGTAAAGATAGGAGAACAGCGCTAGGCTTACCGCACCGTGACGTCACCGCTGGAAGATGTCAGGAGTGAGGTGTTACTATATTTTGGCAAAAATGTCAGCTCCCAGACTCAGTGATCGCGACAAAAATTATTACTTTTAATTTTTTACTGATTAACCCTAAATTCTTTAAATCCCCGCAAACGTATTAGTTTTAGGTATCGTTAGGTTTATTCTTTATACATCATGTGCATTGTTATTCTGTTAGCCAGATTAGAGAGAGAAGAAGGCCTTCCTTCACATTGTGGATGTCACTGTGTGCACGGAGGTCATCTAAATAGGACAGCCTTCTCGTCTTTTAAAGATACACAGGATATGAGCACATCTTGGAGCCGGACTGATAGAGGAGATGTATCTGTAATCCTGGGGCATAGAGGCAAGACGCATACAGGTCAGGGCATTGATGGCGTGTCAGTTTCTGATACGGACAGCTAAGCATCCACCTGATGCAACTCATAGACCCATGAGGTATAAGAAGCAGGAGATGACCTTGTTCGGGGCTCAATCTTTGCCGGACACTCGCGGACGTGATTTTTTTAGCCCACAGCTGTGCAAGCTCCAAGGATTTTTCTCTGTCCTGTAACGACCTGATCTGGAATAAACTCTGTTACTTTTTTACTCCTGTTTTATAGTCCTTTTATATGGTTTTACCCCGTTTGAGTTAAGAGTAGTAAAGAACTTGCTGCCAGGAAAAGAACCGGAATGGAAGTCCCGAGGCGCAACTGCCTTCAAGGGGACATAACTTCATCATTTAACAGTATAGATAAGGACCTATTGATTATTCCTTGCTGGCCGGACTTTTCCTTTAACACAGCTGCATTTTGGGCAAATGAGATAATTCATAAAGGGCATCATTCTAACTTGGTCAATATTTTCTGGTCAAAGGGCGGACATTTTAAAGTTGTTCAGCTACTTTGGTGGATATATAGGCAGGGACTAGATGACAAAAATTGTAAGCTTCTCTGAGGGTAGGAGTTTTAACTGATATCATTATACGCATCTTTAAATATTAAGGAATTCCAGATTATAAGCTGTAAGCTAGTTTCGGTATAGTTCTCTTTCTTCCTCTTTCTAATGTTTCTGCGACTTCCGCTCACAGTATTTAGAATGATCTCCATCTCTTACTGTATAACACGTGAGATCATTACTTTGTTAGTAAAGGTACAAGTTTAAATAATGTGTGAATGTATTGATTTGGTAGTTTGTAATCACACACCTTGCTTTAGCTTGGTTGGTTTTCCTTTGCTTTTGTTGTTCACATTTCCCAACTTCACATTTATCTCACACTGATAGCTGAACTTCATTTCTTCTGGTCCAACATTTAGTAAAATAAAGACAAACTTTTTGGAGTTCTCCTGATAGGCGACAATATTTGTGCAGTTATCCGTTCCTATCTGGCAGATCTTCTCTTGGATTTCCCTAAACATCAAAATGAAGATTAAACATTTAATTAACTCTATTAATTAGAATCAAGGCATCTACTTCTTCATTAATCTGAAATCTAGATGTTCAAAATAAAAATCTTAAATCTGTTCAAACCAAATACACACACTTGTTTATACAGTACAGACAGACAGACAGAAAGACATAGTACAATGAACTATATCTGTATTTGTTCTTTCTTTTGTGACTTATATGTAACTGGCCTCTTGGCCAGATCTCTCCTGCAGAAGATAATTTAAATATCAGTGTGACTAACCCAGGAAATAAAAGTTAAATTATATGGTGGCACAACACCATTCAGCTAAGTGTAAAAAATGCTTTTGTCTAACTTTTGGGATTTTATTTCTTCCAAATAATGAAAAGTGATGTAAAACTTTTAGCCATTTCTATAAAAGGAATCCCTTTATTATATCCAGATAAATATTTACTGATCTTCATGTTTATTTTTGGATAAAGATCCAGATGAAAAGACACATCTACCTTCTTAGGAAATTGCTCATTTCTATCCCCTCTATTTCTATCCATCCAATTAAGATATAAATGTTACCATAGAATGTTATATCTATTTCTTTTAAATATATTTAACATTGTAGCTTAGTTATTCTTTTAATTAAGTTATGGATTTAAAAAAGGCAGTTTTGAAGATAGTAAGATTAGTTATCAAGAATATGTTCGATTTTTACAAATCTTTAAGTTAAATTTTTGGGTAATAAAGAGTAAAAATAACTGCCATTCTTTTCCATTTCTTTCTTTCAACCAAGAGTTGTGAAGGTGTTTCATCAGCTCAAGTATTTCTGAAAACAACATTATCCCTGCTAAGTTTTGTTGCCATAATGCCAGTAAAGGCTTTGCATCTACTAAAGGTTGCAAAACAAAAGGTGAGAGAGCATTTCGATTAAATATTTGCAAAATAGAGAAATGCTGAATTATAAAAAGAAGTATTCTGAATATGAAAAATGTATCTCTATTTTCATGTAATGTTAAATATTAAATGTCAGCTGTGAAAATGTATTTAAATATTTATTCTTCTTTTTCCTGAATAATCAAAATGGAGGCTCAAGGCTAAAAATGCATGAGTCTAATTAAGCTGTTATATAAAGGTTATATTGGTCGATATCCTAAATTCTAATCTTATAAAATGAAAACAGGATGTAAGTAAAAAAATGTCACCCATTACATTTATTAAAGTGTTTGTAATCATTTTAAAACAAATTTCACCCCTGGGTAAACTTCAATACTAAAGTAAAAAAACAGGAAAGTATTAAAAACATAGATTACTCTGTTTTTATTTTAAAATACAGTGAGAAGTAAAATAAGCTTACTAAAAACAACAGTTATAGTTCTGACACAAAAGATCCTACAAAAACCCCAAAAAAACTAATAAAACATCACAGCTGAAATAAAATTAAAGTTTGGATTATTAAAAACTTAATTAATTATGCTGCTTTAGTAGAAATGTTCATCTATTTAAAGGTGTTTTTCTTAGCCGTGCTTTAATATGACCCTCTCAGACACCATAGAGAGGACACTCACTGTGAAATCCTGTACAGTCCAACCTCCTGCACGGTTGATTCCTCTGCATCATGTTGACAGCTGATAGAGGCTGTTTGGTCTGGATTAACATCCTGAAACTGTGGCTGGTTTACGTTAAAATCTGATGGAAATAAAGGATGAGTTAGGAAAAATAGATTCTGGTACTGTAAGACCTACTAATGTAATTCTTCTCCATTTCGGTATTGTGACACTGATTTCTACCAGAACCAACAAAAGACTTTATAAAATGTGATTTGATGGTTGGGTTACATACTGTATAGGAGTTGGGTTGGTTCTCCCGTTGCGGTCAAATCCAGATCATTTATTTCCAATGTTATCTCACACTCATAGGTAAACTTCATTTGTTCAAGACCAACATTTTTTAAAGTAAAGACATAGTGTCTGTCGGTTTTTTGCTGCTGGATAATATTTGGGCAGCTAGGCATTCCCTTCTGGCAAAGCTTGCTTGTTCCTGTCCTAAAAGTTAAAACACAGATGAAATATTAAATGAATTAACTGAATGGTGCAGAAGCAAAACATCGGTTTGTCCGAATAATATGATATAAGCTGGTAAAAAAATAGATCATGAAAAAAAACATTTTTTTTTAAGCGAGAATGTGTTAAAAGTTTAAATAAATTGAAAGTCTTTAAATCTTTAAGAGCAAATAATAACTACTTTCATAAGAAAATTAAAACCAAAGCAAAGCTAACTTCTGCAAATGTGTTTTTACGATTTATACTTCTGCTGAATTAATAAACGTAAAAATGCTTTTGACACCTCTCATAAATTCCCAAAAAATAAAATTGAAGAGACAAGGCTGAGGCAGTTTTTGAAAAATAAGAGGAATGAAGGTAAAGCTGCCAGAGAATAAACAGGGAACATCACAGAAGAGGTTCATGAATGTAGTCAGGGAAGAAATGTAGATGTTGATGTGACAGGAGAGCCCCAGACTAGTGGGTCAAGTCCGATGCACTAGTCTGATGCACTAGTCTGATGCACTAGTCAGCATCAGACTAGTGCATCAGCTGTAGCTATGCTGAAGAGACTTTGTGGTTTAATAGCATGGCTGCTTGATTTTAGAACAACAAACAGTAGTTTTGATATTATTGTTGAAGCTTTTAATGACCACAAACCTTATCATTTACTAACATCATTAAAAGATTTTTTTAATGTTCCCACTTGCCTTGCTGAGGTTTAAGCGTCTGCATAGCAGGATTTATACCCCATATGGGCATAACAGGAAGAAAAACTATGAGGATTATTTAGGATAAGAAATAATTATTTCATTGGAAAGTATAACACTGGAATATGGAGAATTTTGAAAAAAACCGAAATTTAATTGGGCCATACATTTTATAAGATGTTTCTTGTCATGCTTCTTCCACAACTCTCAAAATTTAACTAAACTATTGACTCAGAAACATTGGCCATGTTTAAAACTGAGAAACATTTTCATCTATGTTTATGACATACAAATAATGTAAAAAAATATCTAAATAACAAGGTGTCGTCCAAACATAGAGACATGAAACATGAACATGTAGGAAAATCAACAAGTATGTGAATGTAAAGATTACAGCAGTGTAGTTTAAACCCACAGTGGAATGTAGTGCATGTAGGAGTGTCAGGGACTTATATACCTCAACCAAAGAAATGCTGCAGAGATAATTTAAAAAAGAGGGGACACTAATGGTGAGGGTTTATCTCACATTATAATATCTCATTTGGGGCATATCCATTTTAAACTCTACGAAATGCCAAAAAATAGCATTAAATATCCACCTAAAGCATAGTTATATAGCTACTTACATAAGGAAAAAACTAAAAACAAGTTCTGTTAAAATGCACACAAATAAATATATTATTTGACTAGCTGTATGATTACAGAAGCATCATCAGGTCACTCACGGTTTTTTAAGGTTTAGACGAACATCCCTAAGGTTAAAGTTCTCTGCGTCATGTTCACAGCTGATAGAAGCTGTTTTGTCAGTGTTAACATCCTGAAATGGGGGCTGGATCACCTTAAAACCTGATGGATAAGAAAGGATTTGGTTATAATTACTTTTTTATATTTCTATTGATCTGTATGCAAGTATAGTAACACAAATCTGAAACACAACCATTTCTTTGAACACAACCAAAACAAAAAAGCCTTTGAGTTACTGCAATTTCCCTTTGGGATTAATACTTTTGAGTTGAATTAAACCATGTAGAGTAGGTAACTTTTTCTTACCTTTGCTCATGATGACTGTGGGCATCAGAAAGATCAATACGAAGATGAAAATATTCAAGTAGACCTGTGCCATCGTAGCAACACGATGTCTACTTCCAATGTAGCTGAAATAAGGTGGAAACCTTCAACAGAAACGCTGCTGCAATCATTTAGTCTTGGTAAAAGTAGAAGTGGAAAGGAGTGAACGTTGTGTTTGCACTGTGTTGCATGACGTTTTTTTTTTTTTTTGGTTGTTTGGTTTCTGTGGGTGAGTCTTCCTGTGCTTTCATTTTTTTTTTTTTTTATAAATCCTCGCAGCAAAGCCTTTTGATTTTAAAGATAGTGAATAGGTTAAACTGTTCTTGAAATTATTGTCTTGCTGTGTTGCATATGAATATAAAACAAGAGTCAAGACTTCCTATTGTCGATTCACCAATATTGTCTTGCAGTAAAGTACAGAGTAACACAGAACATGAAGCAGAATAGTACAGAAGATTAATTTGCCATGGCACATACTGAGAAATACAATGAAATTCTACAATATTTGTACATTCCAATGAGCACCATTGCTTTTTGTTATGATCCTTTACAGCAGGGGTCAGCAATGCAAACTGTTCAAACAGCCATATTGGACCAAGACAACAAATTTCTCTGAAGCCACAAAACTGTAAAAGTCTTAGATATGTCCTGTATGGCAACACGGACTGTAAGTATATTAGCCCACTATAAAAAAGGACACAGGCTTAAATATATAATAAGCTGTAGAAGCCATTATGTATAAGCTCTATAAAAGAGGGGAAATGATGTGTGTATGGGCGTGTGTTTCACCGGAAAGGGCAAATCGGTTTGACCGGATTATGGAAGCAGTTGTGCATCAACAACGTTGTTTGACTCTACCACCACGGGACATTCCTGTTTTTGATGGAGATCCATTGCAGTATCACCATTTTATAAAAGCATTTGAACAAGGCGTTGAAGAAAAGGCCAGCAAAGCAGACTGTATTTATTATATGGAGCAATTTACCAGAGGACAGCCAAGGGAATTGGTCCGTAGCTGCCAGCATATGGCTCCTGAAAATGGATACAGTATGGCCAAGCAACTTCTAAAAGAACACTTTGGAAATGAGTATAAGCTTGCTAATGCTTATATTGAAAAAGTTTTGGCCTGGCATACAATAAAATCAGAGGATGGCAAATCACTTCAAGCATATGCTTTATATTTGCGTGGATGTTGCAATGTGATGCAAGAGCTTGAATATATGGAAGAATTGAACATGCCAACAAATATAAAAATCATGGTCTCTAAATTACCATACAAGTTGAGGGAAAGATGGAGGACAAAGGCCCATGACATCATGGAACAACACAACCGAAGAGCTCACTTACATGGCTTGGTGACATATTTGGAACGTCAAGTACGGATTCTTTTAAATCCCATTTATGGAGACATCGAGCATGCACAACGAAACAGTTCAAGGGCATCTATACAAAAGGCACAATGTTCTGGAGGAGTAAAGGGAAGCTTCGCCACTACTGTGAAACCAGTGAACTCTGACAACAAAGGTGTGTTGGATGGTTCTCAAATGGAGCTGTGTTGTTGCTGTTCGCACACTCATTGCCTAGACAACTGTAAACTGTTCAAGAGTAAAAAACACAGAGATAAAATCTCTTTTCTAAAAGAGAAAGGGTTTTTCTTTGGTTGCCTGTGCATAGGACACATGAGTCGTAACTGTACCAATCGTTTGAGCTGTCGAACCTGTGGTCAGCAGCATCCAACTGTGCTTCATATTAGTCCAATCAAGGAACAAAATTCACCTGTTATTCTTCTTTCTACTCCTACACAAACATGTGGTCTTACAGGGGCCGGAAAAGACTGTCTTTTATCCATCGTTCCAGTTCGTGTCAAGTCCACTACAGGAACTGAAGAGGTGCAGACTTACGCATTTTTGATCCCGGTAGTTCTGCTACATTCTCCACGGAAGAGATTATGAAAAAATTTAAGATTAAAGGAAGACAAACTCAGTTTTTGTTGACTTCCATGGGACAAGAAAAGGTGATTCCAGCACACCTGTTGTTTGGAATTGAAGTTGCAGGGATTAATTCAAACACTTTCCACCTGCTTCCAGAGGTTTTAACACAAAAAGAAATGCCAGTATTAAAGTCAAATATTGCTACACCTGCAGACCTGAAAAGATTTCCATATTTGTCAAAGATTTCTATTCCCAACATAGATGCTACTGTTGGGTTGTTGATAGGAACCAACGCACCCAAGCTATTGGAGCCCTGGGAAGTAATCAACAGCAGATCGGATGGCCTGTATGCTATAAGGACAGTATTGGGATGGGTCATTAATGGACCTATGCATGGAAACGAAATGAGCAGAACAGCAGTTGTGAACAGAATTTCTGTGACAAATCTGGAGCTAATGCTACAAAACCAGTACAATCATGACTTTAATGAAAAACCCTCAGCAGGTAAAGAGATGTCAAGGGAGGATTTGAAATGTATGGACACAATGGATTCTACTGCACATCTAAAGGAAGGCAGATATGTTCTTAACATACCCCTAAGAAATCCAGTTATGACATTACCCAATAACTTTTCTATGGCAAAGCAGAGGATTCTTAGCTTAAAGAAAAGGCTAGTGAGCAACCCGCAGTTTTGTCAAGAGTATGTGTTGTATATGCAAAATGTAATAAAGCTAGGGTATGCAGAAAAGGTGCCAGAGAAAGAGTTGAAAGGAAAATCAGGAAAGGTGTGGTATATTCCACATCATGGTGTATACCATCCAAGAAAATGAGCTCTACGAGTGGTTTTTGACTGTGGAGCCACTTTCAAAGGAAGATTTCTCAATAAGGAGTTACTACAAGGTCCCAATCTCGCCAGCTCTCTGCTTGGAGTCCTCATCAGGTTTAGACAGAGGCCAATAGCATGTATGGGCAATATACAAGCTATGTTTCATCAAGTAAAGGTTGCAGAGCACCAGAGAGATCTTCTTCGTTTCCTCTGGTGGGAAGACGGATACCTATAGAAGGAAGTTCAAAACTTCAGGATGACTGTTCGCTTATTTGGTGCTGTGTCATCACCTAGCTGTACCAGCTATGCACTGAGAAAGACGGCTGATGACAACAAGGCTGATTTCTTTCATGATGTGGTGAAAGCGGTTAAACAAAATTTTTGTGGATGACTGCTTAATCAGTTTTGGTTCAGAGAAAAAAGCCAAACAGGTGATAAAAGATCTAAGCATTCTCTGTGAGAAAGGAGGCTTTACTCTGGAAAAGTGGATCAGTAAAATCGAGAGGTTTTGCAAAGTATTCCAGAAGATCGGTGGGCAAAGGATCTAAAAGAGCTCAACCTAGATCGGGACAAACTTCCTATGGAGAGAGCTTTAGGGCTACTCTGGTGTGTGGAATCGGATGATTTCAAGTTCAAGATTGAAGTAAAACAGCAATGTCTCACTAGACGTAGTATACTGTCAGTAACCAGCTCTGTGTATGATCCTTTGGGAATTCTTGCACCTGTCACTCTCTATGCCAAGATGTTGCAACAGGAACTCTGCAAAAGAAAATGTGGTTGGGATGAGGCTTTACCTCCTGATATTTTGAAAAAAAGGAATTCATGGACTCAAGAGCTTGTACTCTTGACGTCATTTCAAATGAAACAATGCATTCTACCAAAAGACTTTGGGGAGTCTGTTTGTACAGAATTGCATCATTTTGCTGATGCCAGCAAAGATGGTTATGGAACTGTGTCATACATTCGGCTAAAGAACTCCCAGAATGACATCCACGTTGCTTTTCTATTAGGCAAGGCACGAGTTGCTCCACTGAAGACCATCACAATCCCCCGAATGGAATTAACAGCTGCTGTCTTGGCTGCTCGGGTGGATGTCCTGTTGAAAGCGGAGCTGCAACTATGGATTGATGATTCTGTGTTCTGGACCGACAGTATGTCAGTATTGAAGTACATCTACAATGAAGGCACATGATTTCAAGTGTTTGTGGCAAATAGAGTCTCTGCTATAAGAGAGGCTTCACATCCTTCTCAATGGAGACATATCTGCTCAGAGGGCAATCCAGCGGATGCCGCCTCAAGAGGAATGAGAATATCAGAATTTGTTGAATATCAAATCTGGCTTAAAGGGCCCAATTTTTGATGGAAATCTGACCAGGAATGGCCACAAGCTTCCTTTGATCCTGTGATAGAAGTTGAAGATCCTGAGGTCCACAAAAGTGCAGCTGTGAGTGTGTCATTTTGTAATGAATTAAATCCTACTGATCGGCTCATCAGTTACTTTTCTGATTGGCAAAAGCTGAAAAAATCAGTTGCTTGGTTTACCAAGCTAAAATCCATCCTACTCAAGCGTTGTAGAAGGAGAAAGACTACCAACAAATTTTCTCAAGATGAACTGAATGAGAAATCTGCTCTGACTTTAGAGGATCTGTCGCAGGCAGAGTTTGACATCGTACGCTATTGTCAGCAACAGCAGTTCAAAGAGGAAATGGCAGGATTGGCTGAAAGCAAGGGCGTAGGTTTGATTTTAACTTTGGTAGGGACGCTATTGGTCTGGTGTCATTGGTGCTATGCAATATGCATGCCCTTTTGTATGCTTGATGTGGGCATCCGTACTGATAAGAGGAATTCATTGTTAAAAGAGAAAAGCATAATTTTGCTACATTAATAAAAATTAAATAAAAAAAGCACTACACTCATTAGATGCTGTTTATCAATGTTTGAAGCATTAATTTATTATTTCAATAATCGTCAACTAATTTAATAATTGATTCATCATTAACTGGAGTATAAAGACTCTAAAACATAATATAAATGTAAAATTGTCTTTTTCCAACAGAGCAACCCACTTAGATCAGTAATTATACCAAAATTGTAAAACTACAATACATATATATAATCAAAATTCTCCATCCAGAACTCCTCATGTGGAAATATTTTAGTTTAACCTGGTTTATTTAGACATCACCTGAAGCACTGAAGGGCAGCTGCTTCACCTACAGTTCATGCTGCCCTGCATCATTATTACTGGATATCTGTGTTTCCTATAATCATATAATGTGTAAGAGCATTTTTAATAGTAAAGGATTAAATGTAACAAAACCTTTTATCATTGTCCTATATTGCTTACTGTCTGACTGTTTAAATAGCTCATTATGTCTATTTTCTTTTTTAGTGGCATCATCTACACTGCAAAAAATA